CCTCTCTGTTGTTGATCCAGCTGGGATCTCCCGCTCCCCCAAGCTCTCTTTCCCTCAACCCTCGCCTTTCATTACCCCCACTCATGTCCAGGCTGTTCATGTAGATCTCATTCCATTTCTCTGTCATTGGGTGATCCCTGTGTCTTTCTTGGGGTCCTGTTTTCCAGGTAGCCTCCCTGGTGATGTGAGTAGCAGACAAGTCATCCTTGTTTCATGTCTAGTATCCTGCTATGAGTGAGTAATAGGGAATTCAAGAAATTAGACATCAAAATGCCCAACAGTCCAATTAAGAAATGGGCTATAGAACTAAACAGAGAATTCTCAACAGAGGAAACTCAAATGGCCGAAAGACATTTAAGGAACTGCTCAACATCCCTAATCATCAGGGAAATGCAAATCAAAACAACTCTGAGATACCACCTTACGCCTGTCAGAAAGGCTAAGATCAAAAACACTGAAGACACCTTATGCTGGAGAGGATGTGGAGCTAGGGGAACTCTCCTCCACTGCTGGTGGGAATGCAAGCTTGTACAACCACTTTGGAAATCAATATGGCGCTTTCTTAGAAAATTGGGAATCAATCTCCCCCAAGATCCAGCTATACCACTCTTGGGCATATACCCAAGAAATGCTCAACCACACCATAAGAGCACTTGTTCAGTTATGTTCATATCAGCATTGTTTGTAATAGCCAGAACATGGAAACAACCCAGATGCCCTTCAACTGAAGAATGGATAAACAAAATGTGGTACATATACACAATGGAATACTACTCAGCAGAGAAAAACAATGGCATCATGAGGTTTGCAGACAAATGGATGGATCTAGAAAAAATCATTCTGAGTGAGGTAACCCAGACTCAGAAAGACAAACATGGTATGTACTCTGCATCTGATTTTGAAAACTTATTTTTAAATGGAAAAAGACCCCTTTGTTTCCATAAAGATGTCTCCTTAGGGAAAAAATTCAGCTTTTTCAGTTCACTAAGCTAAATATACTATGCTACTTCACTGAAATCGAAAGGAAAAGCCCATCTTGAGTACTTAGATTAAGAATTTAAATAAAAGAAAGTTATGATAAAATATATCCTGTCTGTTGACTGTTTTCTTTCAACTAGAAAGTGCTGATGTATGCAGCATCAAACAATCAAGAAGACCTTGTATCAAACAGGGTGGAAGTCACTGAGATTGATACCTACGGATGTCCTCCGACCTTCACAAACTTTTTGTGGCTTGTGCACACCTGCACTCACACATATGATCACTACTAGACCTCTACCAAATTTTCCAAAATTGTCTGTGTAGAGCCTTTCTCTTTAGCTCTTCAGAACTGTATCACTAAAAGATGTAAATTTTGTAGAATGATCTTGTGCTTATGTAGAAAAGAAACCACCACACACAGCATCTGATGGTACTTATGTATCCTTGGCTAAATGGAGGTGTTGTAATAACACCCTTCATTTCCACTGCTGCACATCCACTGATCTTCTGAGATCCTCAGTGAAGTTATTCCCTGGGGAAGCCTAGATGAGGAGGTCGGGGCTGAGGTCCAAGGGCCTTTTAGTTGTTCCTTGCCTTTCCAGGATGTCAGGACTTACATTCTACCTGCCCTACACCCTGCCTTGTGTGCTCTAATGAACACCATACTGTCCCATACTCACTCATATTCTTCTGGATTATGAACACTTTCTTCTTTTCTTTCTCTGGGAGTACACATCTGTCCCCAACACAAATCCAAACTCTGGACACTATCCTTAACCATTCTCTGGGAATAAATCAACTATTGTATGATTTATTAGATATTTACTCACTAACAGTTAAATACTTTAAAACCCACATTTAATGGTTGCTTCTTTCATATTTTGGGACACAATTAAACGCATGAGAAAACCTGTACCGATCCCTAGTTTTGAAGTTGACTCATGTTCAAAAAGATGTTAAGAAAAGAGATTGGTGATTATTAAGTGTTCAGGTTAAAGAAAAGTTACCATCTGCTGAGGTCATTAGAAAATTTGTCACATTTGCAAAAGAAATGTGACTTGAGAAATCTTTTAACTTTTTTCTTTTTAATTAACACATGATAATTTTATGTATTCATGGGTATAGTGTGATGTTTCAAAGTATATATATATATATATATATATATATATATATATATATATATATATATATATTGCACTAATTAAGTCAGGGTAATTAACATTTTCCATTTTCTAATCATTTATGTTTGGGGACTTTGAGCCCCTGTTTGCTAGTTCTCTACAAAACTTAAAATACAGATTCCTATGAACTATAGGCATCCTGCTACTGTGCTGCAGAACACTAGGAATTTTTCTTCCTAACTATTTGTTAGTATCTATTGTTTCAATGACCCACTGTGTCCCCTCTCTGACCTTCCTGGCCCTTATTCTACTTTGTTACACTTTGATATATAGTTTGAAATGAGAACATTAAGAACTTTAGTCAAGATGCTGGAGCTAGAATATTAAGTTGAAGCAGATATAGGAAAATCTAGTTGAATATGAAGGTAGACTAAACAAACAGAAACAATGTATGTTGCAAAGTAGTAAGGATAGGTGCAGAATTAAGTGGATCATATAGGGCCTTAAAGTAAGTTTAATTTTATTAAACAAATTATGTCATTTTGCCTTACATACAGTAGATAATCAAAGAATAAGTAGATGCACTTTGTTGAAGTTATGTAAGAGATCTGTCTTGGGGCTGGAAAGATGGCTCATCAGTTAAGAACACTGGTAGGTCTTGTAGAAGACCCTTGTGCAATCCTCAGAACTCACACAGCAGCCCACATTGTCTGTAATTCCAATTCCAGGGAATCTGTTACCTTCATCTGGCCTCCATGAGCACCAGGCATACATGTGGTACATAGACATATATGCAGACCAAACACTCATATGCATAAAATTAAAAAAAAACAGAATATCATATATCTCATGAAAAGGGCAGGTGTATTGATGTGGAGGAAGGTGTAATAAGAGAGTGACTATAAGTTGGTAAGTCATTATGAAAATTAGTGTGGAGGTTGCTCAAAAGGTTGGAAATAGATCTACAACATGATCCAGCTATATCCCTCACAGGTATATGAACTGGTTGGCCTTGAACTCACAGAGATCATCCTGCCTCTGCCTCCAAGTGTGGGGATTAAAGGTGTGTGCCACCACGGCCTGACACTCAGCTCTTTTTGTGTATAGTATTTTCATGTCTTTGTTAAGTTTCACCATTCTGTTACTTTGCTTGGGGTTATACAGTTTAAGAAGCCACCAATATTTTGCATTTCTCATGAATACTGGTAAAGAGCCATCAGTTTTTTTCTTACAAATAAATGTCCTAGCTAGATTTAAGTTTGTCAATTTAGTTTGAACTTTAACAATCTTTTAATTTATATTCTTTGCGTCCAAATTAGAAGTTCCTGTTCTTCTAGGGTTTCAGATTAGGAACTTAACACTCTGAGAGCATTTTGAAACACATGACCTCTTTTAAATTTAAGAGAAAACATTAGCATGTGAATTAATTGAAAGTAAAAATAAATATATTAACACACACACCCCATAAATTTAGATTTCAACTGCTACTACTTAAACCCTTTGTAACTGAACTGAATGATTTATTTGTATCTAAGTCATATGATGTTTTGCTCAGAGACTCATTATTAATAGTTTTCTGGTCTGCATGTACTTTGAGAATTTTTTTTAAAAAAGTGAACCACTTTTACTGGTATCAACTACCAGCTGACATTTTATCCACTAGTGTTCATAACATTTCAGATTAAAGTTGTTATTTTAAGTAGCATGCAGGGTTCATCTTTGCAAAGCAAACAGCCGAATAGCATAAGACAGAAAGACAGCATCATAGTAATCTTTAGTTCTTTTACAATAATTCTAATACTACTACTAATAAAATTTGTGTTTATGTTTTCGAAAATACTTTACACAGGGCCAGTTTAGTTATATGCAAGAGAAGACATGATACCAGTGAAATGGCATATGAGAATGTTGGACTGAAATTTATAAAAGAGAATGATTCTCAGAATTCTCTAACTGTAGTTAACCTTGTGGACTATATTTTGCTACTTTTGTTCTTTATTTCTGGATATGTTGTCCATGTTGTCTTTTACTATTGCTTCAGCCTCCTAAGTACCTAGAGCTAGAAATGCATCACTACCCCCAGCTTCGTATTTGGCCTGTTCTATCTTCAGTATTAATCACAGGGTCAGTTTGCTATGCCTTCAGCTGAGTAAAGCCCTGAAATATTGACAGCAACACTGTTATCTTTCTCAAAACAGTATCATAAATTAGTAGAGATAAAAAGGAGAGCTTCTTGAGACCAAGCCCCCTTAAAACTATTTTTGTTAATGTCTGTATTTGCGATAGTATAGGTATTTATGGCAAGTGAAAATGATGCTTGCATGAGGTTACAGAAAGAAGCTGAGCTACTTTCCATCTTGTTTTTCAATCGCCCTTATCAAATTCTATGTACATAAGTGATTAGTTTATAAGTAGAGACCTATAAATGCATTAATTTCAGAGTTACAAACTGTCACCCATTCTAAATTGAAGGTACTTACAAGATTTTCTGGTTGAGACAGACAAAGCATAAAAAGAAGTCATGGGATGAAGCTCAAATACACTTTGGAATATTTCAGTGTTTCTATTGTACTGTGTTGTATATTTATTTCTCCATTTCCTCTCTCTCTCTCTCTCTCTCTCTCTCTCTCTCTCTCTCTCTCTCTCTCTGTGTGTGTGTGTGTGTGTGTGTGTGTGTGTATGTGTATGTGTATGTGTGTGTGTGTCTCCATATATGTAGAGAGAGAGAGAGATGTCTTTGTGGGCACTTGTATATATCTGTGCTCATGTGTGTATGTAAAATATTAAGGATTAGCTTATATCAGTGATTATGTTATAAAGTATTTTAAAGGCAATATCTTATCAAAACCACAAAGCTAACAAATGACAAATTAAGTTGTACTTTATCCATGCTCTTACCTTCACATCTTTGACGTTCATCCTTGTTCCCTCCTTCCCCACAAATATGTCATCAATGTCCACAAGGATGTATCTGTCCAAGGACAATGTCAGCCTCTTTCCCGATAAGAAGGAGATGGCGTCTATGAAGATGAGCTTGTGCAGCCAAAAGTTCAAGTTGTTGCCAAAAAGAACACGCTGGATCCCATCATGAAGCCCCAGATCCTGAATTATTGTAGCATAGAGTGTTTTGCTGGACAAGAAAGAGAGGGGCTTCTCTGTCTGTAACTCAGTTAAAAGCACTGGCTGATAGGTAGAATGGTTATATTGGAAAATCGTCCAGTCTTCCCCAGGAAGAGGTCCCTTTTCCACCTTAGGGCCTTTGGTAATATGCAGCAGGGGAGACTGGGGGTTCACGGAGCAGTCCTTCAGAGCTAGATTATTGAATAAGTTCAAAGGAAAACCTTTCAACTGTGTAGTTGGTAAGCTGTTCTCGTTGGCTTTATGAAAACCAATTATGCTAACACTGTATTCTATACAGTATTTTTCTAAAAGCTCCCGGTTCCATGAGTCCATGCTGACATATTTCAGAATATTTTCATAAATGATCAATGTGTACTTCCCTTTGCCACTATCGGTAAGAGGTGGTATGTCTCCCTTGCCTGGAGCAATGACCATCTGGTACTGAAAGCGGCTGGACTCCAAAATTGCTATTATATCTTGACCGAGTTGAGAATACTGGCTCTCTACAAAGAGGAGGACAGTGGGGTCAGTTTTGGATGTGTCAATAGGCTTGACGGTTTTCAGCTCTATGGACCGATAAGGGAAGATTTTGACGTCAGCACACTCTGCTTCGGCAGTAGTTTCAATAAGTGTCATTTCCTGTTTGTAGCCAGAGTACAGGAAGTAGGCAGAAACGATGATGCTCACCAAGCAAAAGGTAGCTAAGAGAACAATAAGTGTTCGAAAGCTTCTTCGAAACCTCACAATAAGATTCATTTTAAAAACCAGTGCTTTGAGAGCCGTTTCTGGCTTCTTTCCCTAATGTGCCATAGAGAACATACAGTAAGATGTTGCAAATTTTCCTTCCCAAACATTCATGTAACCATTGCAAATCATGGGAGATTCTCGAAGTGGTCACAAATGAGTCAAATCTGGTAGGCAATGGACCAGAAAGGCAACAGCTGAGATGCTCTGTGCAATACCAAGAATTGCTGCAGATCCCTTTAAGCATTATCTGAAAAAGAGGAGAAATATGATAGCTAAGAACAGAAAGGAGTGTTCCTGTATATGTTTATATGCTTGCTGATAGCTATGAAACCCACGAGAGATTACTACAAATGATAGTATACTAATAGTGTCTGCTGATAGCCCAGGTCTTAATATTTGACACATAGTCCATTTGGATTTCCATGACTTCTAGAAAACTCTATGGAAGTCTTTTTTGACTTTGCTCAAATATCCTCATGTATATAAGAACACATATTGAGATCAGTTTCCGCTAGCTATCTTGAAAAGAAGAGAAGTAAAGGAGGAAAGAGAAAATTAGATTCATGATGTTAATACTTTGGTAAATTATCTATTCTGACATAAGATAGTGAACTTTTTTTGAATGCAAAAAAGATGAGATATCAATTTTAAGTATTAGAACAGTTCTTCCTAATATGCAATAGTGAAAAGAAAAAAAACATATGGGACTAGAATCTGTCAACCCAAAGAATAAGCAAAATTTAAATGTGACATTTATTTAACATCAGTTTGTTCTGAGTTAGAATGATAGATTCATATACCACAATGGTACATGGCTGTGTTCTCAGCCAGCTTCTGTTTTAACTGCAAGACATATCAGTTACATTCAGCTTTCTCATTTCTCCATTCTTAATGATGATGGCTAGCTAGTTAAGGTGTAAAAGGCTGGCCTTGAAAGTGTTACATCACTAATGTTTACTATGTCCTGCACTGGCACTAAGAGATGTTGTGATGATATTACAGCAAGGAAATGTACTCTGGTCTGTTTGCTTCTTTTACCCAGTGCTCTGTCTCTTAAACTAGAAAAAGGGCAAGGGTGAGGCAGGGCTTGTAGATAGGGAGATGAACCAATGTTAGAATATTGTGTCATATAGATAGATAGATAGATAGATAGATAGATAGATAGATAGATAGATAGATAGATAGATGTGTGTGTGTCATATTATATATAATCATATAATAGGTGTATTTTAATATATGATATAATAATTATATAATATTATTAATAAGCTATAGACATATAATGTTATATATTTAGATAATTTAAAAACACATTTGTAATTGAGTCATTTAAAATTAAGGTAATTCATTTCAAGGTAATAGGAAGTCTATTTAAAAAGCTGTTTCACAAATATAAAAATGTATAGGGTGTTTTCTTAAGGACTGCAAATTGATATGCTAAAATTTTAATTTGATCTTCAACCAATCTTCGTTGCAGAATGAACCTGGTGACCTGCTAGCAGCAAACAGAATCTTGTGGGAATTTTTTCTTCTGGCTTTCCTGGCACAGAAAACTAGCAAGGAGTTCTGTGAATTCCTGGTATGTCTGAAAAGCCATTATTTCCCAAATCAACACACCAAGGAAATCAAATAAGGCTTCAGCTCAAATTTACCAAATCTGGCCTTCATCTGTCTTAAGAAACTTATAAAGATTAACAGCATGACGCACTCTCTGTCACAGCAACCAAAGTCTTTTCCAAATGTCTGATGTCTGACTACAGCCTTGCTCTGGTGAGTGAGATGAAAAATTTTAGTAGCTGCCTTCCTTGCCCCATTTTGGGATTTAAATGAAATATATGTTTCTATGTGTTATCCTTCCAAGCAGGGCACACAAAAGTAACAGAGGAATGAGCACCTCTTTGATGAATACCTCCGTAATGTCACATATGCTTGAACACAGGTTCAGAGATAAATCATTACAAATTTCTAGTTCTGAAGTTAGTAAACACAGCAATTACGATTACTATTGTAGTTATGGTTGTCGTTTTTTGTTTTATTTTGTTTGTTTGGTGTTTTTATTTTTATTTTGGTAATGAAAAACTCAATGAGAACTAGATTTAGGGGCTGGGAATCACATTAAAATACATCTTGTGTTTATTACTTGAAGGTCTTCTGGTGACAGTTATAGCTCAGCAAAATTTATGTGAAATTGGAAAATAATAACAAGATTTGCCGCCATTACTTGCTAGCAAATGCCAACTACATTCTAGTTATTGTACGGCATTACTTGCTTCTGTTCTTCTCTTACCCTCTCATTATTATTCTATTTTCTAAATGAAAAAATTCAATTTAGAAGAGTTTTTAAAAGACTATGATTACACTGTGAAGAGTTTATGACTGGAGAGATCTATATTCCACAAGTTGTCCTGTTGGGGACTAAGGTGAAGCTGCAAGCTTAGAAGTCCACATAAGTAAATTTAAACCCAATGGGAATAACTTTTATTCCAATGCTAAAAGTTAAAAAACTTATACTAGAAATGTTTCTAGAGAAAATGCAGACAAATCAAAGAGTTGAATTGATTAACTCAAAACAAGCTGTAGCTAGAATGAGTCAAAAAATTGCAATATTTTTGCTAGGTTTGACTTTTAGTAATACCTAGGGGAAAACATACACTTGATCAAGTACTGTGTTGCTACATTTCATGAAATTGTATCTGTTGTCAGGAATCTTATTGACAATATGCTCACATTTTGTATTAATGGATGCTATGTATGTACTTAATTAAGACTGTATTGTATAAATATTTAACCATTTATTCTAATGCACCAGTATTCTTTGTAGTGAGTTTCAAAATTGGTAACTAATCTCAAAGAGATGCTGCATTTTCCATAAATGGAAATAAAATGGGGTCATCTGAGAAATACTGACATACTTTCCATACCATAAAGGTAAGCAGTGCTTAAAAACATTATTAGTGGTGTGTTTGTGTGTGAGAGTGTATGTGTATTTGTGTGTGCATGCATGTATGTGTCTGTGTCTGAATGTGTGTATATCAGGAAAGGGGTCCAGCTATGATACTAGCTTTTGTGTCATGGATAAAAGTGTTTGAGACACACTGCTCAAGGGGTCACAGCTGAAATAAATTATTTAACCTGGTTTTCAGAGAATTATACACGTAAGTAGTGTTGTAGCTCAAGATCAGGTGGTCTGTAATGATTCTGAGGATGAAAATATCTCCTGTTAACTCACTAGAAGTGTAGACTAACCATCTGTAGACATCATTATTGGTTACCTGGCATTCCTATGAGCTTCTAGACTACAATATATCTTAATGGTACTTTCAGGAGCACCCATATATCATAAATCACAACTATTTTCCAAAATGGAAGTTCAGAGCAATGACTAGCTGTTGCATTTAATCAAAATGACAGTTCTTTGCTATTTTGTGATTTTCTGAAGAAAAAATAATCTGTTCTTTTTTATTCTGGTAAATAACCTGTTGATTATTTCCTAACTTTTATACACTTGACATTTTTTCCATTTTTACTGACATAATATAAATTTATTTTAGTGCCCAGAGTGTATATTTTTACTAGTGGAAACTCCTAAAAGTGCCATTTTCAAACATAATGATAACATTACTACTCCAATATTATACAGTGCCATCATATTATACTAGGTACATAGCTCTGAGCTATCAGCTATATTCACACTTCAAAAGATTATGAAGGGAAGTCAGTAAATAGAAGAGCAAATGTCAGGCAATTTCTTTTATCACTATTTCTTGCAGATACATAAAGTGTGTGTGTATTATTTTCTTGGGTCTTATTTTTAAAGTGGAGAAAAACCATGATTTTTAAAATACAGTGTATTTTTATGAAAATCATGTGGCAAATATGTAATCATCTCATTTATTTTAAAACATGAGGACATCAAAAATACTACTCTGCTTGCATGGGCATTTGCTCTGTTTGCCATGTGAAATTTAAGATACAGTAGAAATACGGTCTATGGTCAAGGTGAGCTTTCACTCTATCCCTCCAATAGTCAATACTTAAACTCATTTTTAGACTGAAGATTGCATCTTTGAGTTATATCCTTAACTACTAAATAGTCAAGTCTACAGAACAGAGGGGCCAGAATTAACCAGGACTAATGACTTAAATTGCCTGTGTCTAATTTAAGGATGACTGCAATCCTGACAGTTCTCGTGGGACCTCCAGATGAGTGTGGGCAGAGTGTGGCTTCTTGTAGATATAGGAGTGATGCTGACAGAGGGCATTTAGAATTCAGTACAGACCAGTCAAACGCTCGATGTAGGCTTGGATTTCCTTCTAGATGTTCCCCTTTGTGAAAGAAGTAAAGGCATTCTTGCCACACTTCAACAAATGGGCTTTATAAAGAACCTACTGTTTGCCATATAAATGTGCAAATTCAAATTGTACCTCATATCACGATCCAAACAATTAAGCTCTATTGTTTTAATCTGCTTTCAATTTCCTCTCTTCATTATTTATTTCTCTGTCCAAAAACCTGTTGTTTTTTTCTTGTTTTTTAATTGTGGATTATTTAAAGCTTATGCTTAGGAAGTTAATGTAGAGTATTGGTATTAATCACACAATATGCATGACAATTACATTCTCTAACTGCCCTTTGTTTTTTCTTCATATTAACAACTTATATGGAAGCCACAGATGACTGTAGAATTGCTGTACAGAGGCATGCTTCCTTGTTTAGACATAATATTAACACTTCTGTCTTGAAGGTGGGTTTTGTTCCTCTTTTCTGTATCATCCACAAAGATTATATGTAAAATACTTTTAAAAAATTCATATGGCTGGTTTTTTTTTCTGAACAAAATTTGTGTGTTTTTCATACTCTGAAAGCATTTTGAAAACAATTTGGAAATTCAGGATGTTAAAATAAAATGAAGATTGTTTAACAAACCCTGCTGTGCTTTCCATGATCTATGATTTGTTTTTATGGGTTGATTACACAACAAATACGTTTTCATCTTGCCGTTTTCCCTGGGATTATGACACAACGAGTTATCATCAAACAAACAGAGTTTAAAATGTTTTTCTTGCATCACCAGTTTTTTTGTTTGTTTGTTTGTTTCTGTGTTTCCTATTTAGCTTGCACCTCTCTAAGCCTGCTCTGATCACTAAAGGGTCCAACCATATGATTTACAGAGTGGTGGTTGAGCTGGCTCAAAATCACATAGGAAAGTGGGTGTACTCCTTCCATGAACATTTCTAAACCTCAAG